GCTGGGAAGAAGAAGAAGAGAGAAGTTATATCCACTTGTGAATATTAAAATATCGACTTTTTTAATTTGTATATAGAATGTAAATAGGCGAAAATATTTTGCAAAAAATAGAAGTTGATCAATTTCGAATTTTGCCAGCTCCCTCCAACTCCTTGGCGATAACGACAGCGGATATTTTGGGGTGTTCCTTTATAGTCCGAGTAACTTTACTTTAAGCCTAGAAATTGTAAAGATCACTACCATCAAGTCCAAAAAAATTTGTTTTATTGAAAATTTTGCCTATTTCATGAGTACTTTTATTCTCTTGTCAATATTAAACTATCAGAGCCTGAAAATCTTAAGATGATTCTTTATTTATAAGTTTTTCTTCAAAAACTTCTTTTACCAAATATTACAGTAAGACCATACGTAAATAATACCAGGCAAAAATAATGGTACCAAACGTAAGGATGCAAGTTTTTTTTGGTTTCTCACAAACGAAATATTTTATCTTTTTGCAATGGTTAACATCAAAATTGATTTTATATTAAAATTTTAATAAAAATACACAAGTTTCTGTATTGTTTTAAGTTACAGTATTGTTACTCTTGGTAGCAGCTTAAAGGATGAAATAATTTAAGAGAAAAGACTCTTCAAAGTCAAAACTTCTCTCTGAACACGTTTTTTTGGTAGACTGTATGTTCCAAACCTCTACAGCTATATCAACCAAATTTGCTAAGGAAAAAAAAATTTTCGTACTTTTATTCTCTTGTCAATATTAAACTATCAGAGCCTGAAAATCTTAAGATGATTCTTTATTTATAAGTTTTTCTTCAAAAACTTCTTTTACCAAATATTACAGTAAGACCATACGTAAATAATACCAGGCAAAAATAATGGTACCAAACGTAAGGATGCAAGTTTTTTTTGGTTTCTCACAAACGAAATATTTTAACTTTTTGCAATGGTTAACATCAAAATTGATTTTATATTAAAATTTTAATAAAAATACACAAGTTTCTGTATTGTTTTAAGTTACAGTATTGTTACTCTTGGTAGCAGCTTAAAGGATGAAATAATTTAAGAGAAAAAACTCTTCAAAGTCAAAACTTCTCTCTGAACACGTTTTTTTGGTAGACTGTATGTCCCAAACCTCTACAGCTATATCAACCAAATTTGCTAAGGATTATTCGTTTCAGCACCTCCTTAAACGGTGTGATGATGGGTGAAATCAGATAGTAAGCATGCCTACTCTCCATATGACGGTTATGTTAAAACTAGTAAATGCGCGATAACTTATAAGTGTATACGCCAGAAGAACGAAAGGGCTTTATAGGATCTCATGAAAAAATTCGACAATGGATGTGGCAGCGCCCACATTAAGGTGAAATTGTACATCTCAAGACCTAATCGACCAATAAGGGACGAACAAAAACCACGCCTACTTCCTATATAACACATTTATAAATTTCATCTGTATCTTAAACTTTCCAGTACACAAATCAAGCTACAATGAATGTATCAAAATAAAACTTTACACATATAGTGCCTTTAAGGTTTGACTTCTCATGACTAAAAAATGTCAGAATCGGACTATAACTGGTCAAGCCCCCAGATACCAAATGTAAAGACCCCAGTTCTTATTGGGAGCTGTGAGGTAATAATTGAAATTCGGAAAGAGTCCTCCGCTGATAATAGTACACCTGTATGTCACAAATGGGTTGAATCGGATCGGGAAGTTGCCTTATATATTTTACCAGAATTGCCCAAAGACCCTAAATTATTCCTTTTCTGAACTGCTAACACTGGTAATTTTTTCAATTTACCGGCTCTCTTCTAGTTTGTGATAACAATACGGTACGATTTTAAACTCTTTCAAGTGTTCTTAATTTTTCCAAAATTTAGGTCTTATGAAAAATACGACAGTCAAATGACAATGTACGAACTGACCTTATTAGTACCAAACTAAACTAAAAACTCGTTGTCTTTTTCCGAAAAATAACAGCAAATCAAATATCAAAATGTATTCAGGTTGGCGTACATAACTGGATGCGTGAGTTTTGTTAGATTTACCTATGTGATTATTGGTTTATGTTGCCTTTTCTATTTTTGTACTCTTGAAACATGTTTCTACAGAGTATAATAATCCAGTTTACCTAACGGTTGTTTGTATCGCTTAAAAATAATGGAATAAGATATAGAGTTATATACAATATATGTAAATGATCAAGATAATAAGACGAGTTGAAAGCCGAGTGACTGTCTGCCTGTCTGTCTTTCCGTCTGTGCAACCGATAACTTGAATATAAATAAAAGTGAGATCGACCACGCCCACAAACGCCTTAATCAAAAACCTGTAAAATGCTAGAGCTACAAAACTATCGATAGTCGGACCACTCGATAGATTCAAAAAATACTATAGATAATATCGATAGTTTTCTCCTTAAACCTACTTACTATCCGCTGTTTTAAATTAAGAGACCATGTCTTTGTACACTTCATTTTTGTGAAATAATCTTTGGTTTTTTATAAAATAAAAATACAAAAAAAATTAATAAAGTTACATATGTCCACAACTTTTCATGTTATTATATAAACTGCCCTGAAAGCTGACGAGTTTTAAGAAGGTACATAAAATAAGAATGTGTTGATGTGTTTAGTCTTTAGGGCTGGTTTTCTATCACATATTAGCGTGGCTAAAAATTCTCTCCGACTCTCTAAAATTAAAATTATTTAATGTCATATCCCTTTATATTCACTGTAGGTAGACTAATGCTTTGGGTGTACAAGTATGTATGAGCATTAGGGTGGGTCAGTAAAAAGAATGTTCTTGTTTAGATACCTCTAACAAAGGCTCTCCAAGTATCAGCTCATAGTTGTAACGGAAAGGTTCTCCGCATTACCGTTATCTATTTTTTTTATGATCGAATAGAAATATTCATATCTCATTTTCAACTACTTGAAGACTTATTTCGTTTCATGGATTTTGTGTTGTGTTGGTTTAAATAATTTTTTGATTACGTTAAAAATAAACACAAAAAACAAAAATAGAGAAAAAAAGACTTTTTGGTAGAGTAGTAAATTTCTTACAAAACTTAGAACTTTGTAATTTAAAATGGTGTTTTTCTTTATAAATTTGCCTCGCAACATGTTGCTAAAGAGTATAATAGTTTTGTTCACCTAAAACTACTCGAGATAGATATAGGGTTATATATAGGAAAGATCAGGATGAAGAGGCAAGTTGAAATCCGGGTGACTGTCTGTCCGTCCGTCCGTCTGTGCAAGCTGTAACTTGGATAAAAATTGAGATATCTGAATGCAACTTGGTACACATGTTTCTTACTGTAGGACGGTTGGTATTGCAGATGGGCGTGATCGGACCACTGTCACGCCCACAAAACGCCATTAATCAAAATACAAATAAGCTCCACAATAAGATACAATACTGTTATTTGGTATACAGGATCACATTAGGAAGGGGCATCTGAATGATTTTTTTTTAAAGTAGGCATGGTCCTGCCCCTAACCTAATAGGTTTAGTGTGCATATCTCCTAAACCGCTAAAGCTATAATAGCAAAATTCACCTCTATCGACAGTGTAAAAACGGATGACATTGGCTACAGCCTACCCCGCCCACTCCCCATATAACGGTACTGTTAAAAGCTACTAAAAGTGCGATAAGTCCAGCACTAAACACGCCATAGACATTAAATTTTATCATTGGGAAGGTATGAGATGACTTTATAGGAACCGCGTTTAAAATAAAACAGTGGGCGTGGCACCGCCCATTTTAGGTGAAAACCTTTATCTTGGGATTTGCTTAACCGATTTCACTCAAATTCGGTACGAAACATTTTCTTATATTTATAGTTAGAGTCCGAAAATGGGGGAAATCGAATTACAACCACGCCTATTTTAAATTGCATCTTATTCTTTCACTTTCCAGTATGCAAATCAAGCAACAATGATTGTATCAGGGTAAAATTTTGCGTGAATAATGTATTTAAAGTATAGCACCTTGTGACCAAAAATTGTCTTAATCGAACCTAAATTGTTCAAGCCCCTAAGTACTGAATATGTAGACCCCAGTGCCTATAGTTGACTTTTTACCGAAAATATCGGTCAATTGTAAGAGATATAATTGAAATTCATATAATCGAATAAATAAATGAAACTCTCGATAATAGCATTTTTTTGTGTTAAAAATGAGTAGAATCGGATCAATTGGTATAAGTAAAAATAAGAATATGTTGGAAAGAGTTAAAGTTTTCAAAACTTCTGAAACGAAGGGACTGCCCTATGAAATGACACTAAAAACTTCCGCCAAATATGTAATTACAGTGAATCTAAACACGTGCGATGGCTTAGTTAACCCTTATGTTAGTAACGGGGTAACCACCGCTGTGTATTTGTGTTAATAGCTAAAAAAATTCAATATTTCATTTTAAGCTCTCAAATCGTTGTTTTTTAACTTAAAAGAAAGCTATTTGTGAGTTCATTTAACTGCTTTTTTTTATTTTTATTTTTAAATAAGCTTAAACTCTAGCCATCGCCCAATTAGCAACCGGGTACCCGGGTCCACAGTGGAATGCATAGGAAAAAAATTGTATATAATTTCTATTAATGTATGCAACTAAATTTTATTAAAAAAATATAGAAATATTACAATTTTTTATATTTAATGACATTGAACACATTTTACACGATTAACTGAGCGCTCGTCACACACAGGTTGGGACAATTGGCACAGGTCTTACGGGTCTTCGCCGTCTTCTTATTGGCAAAGCAGTGCAGACATGACAAGATCCTATTACTTTTTTTTCCGGTTTTTTCTTTTGGAGTCTCTGGACCAGGATTTATCAGGACTGTTTCTGTCAGTATATGGCCTGATACACTTTCAACAATCTTTGTTGAGAAGTGGCGCATTACTTGTGGATTCGCCGTGCGATGTTCAATCATCGGCAATGCTAGTTCTTCACTTAGTTTACGCATAAATTGACGACGTTCTGTCGTTTTTTTGACAATCATTTTATTATTTTCATAATAAATTATATATGCCGCAAGTGAAGAAATATCTAGCATGTTGAAGAACATTGCCATTGGCTATCTCGAAGATCGTCGTTGACTAGTGTATCTCCGCACCATTTGGTCCATTGTGTCAACTCCAGCTTTATATTTATTTTACAAATTTATTATTTTTGGTTTTCGTTTAGCGTCATCACCAACTGATATATCAGAATGCATTGTCGATATCAGAATGATAATTATTTTTTTTAGGAACGTAGGAACACATGGTAACCTTTTCGTGAAATCCAAAAACTGTCGAATACTGCTCCCGTGTCTCATTCGCTCCCATAATACTAGGGATGTAAGGTTTATTCTTTTTAAGCGTGCCAATAATAGTAATATTCCACGACAACAAATGGTTAGCAACTGGTACAGTACTAAATAAGTTATCCATGCAGATGTTTCTACCACTACCTCGGTACGGAGCCGCCAATTCTTTCACTACTCTTTCACCCTGATTTTTTTCTCGAGTATTATCTGTTTTACCAGTGTAGATAATCGCTTGCAAAGTATATGCGTTTTCTGGATCACAAATCCACCAGATCTTTATACCACACATCACGAATTGGAGCTGTCTTTTCTTCTTTTTTACGTTCACTTCGAGTATTACCACCGTCTAATCGAAAAAAACGCAGAACATTATGGAATGTCGTCAATCCCATCGTCGCGCCATACAGCGGATAAGAATTGGAGTGCCACATGTCAAATGTATGATCTGTATTCGAATTATTTGCTACAGCGCAAATCAAGATACCGAAGAACGAATAAATTTCGGGTATCGTAACGGACTTCTATTGATGCTGTGAGTTTGGATGGTTAGCATTGTACTCTTGGAAAATTGTTTTAGCTTTTTTATTAGTGTGACGGACGATTATATCAACCATTTCGTAGGTAAAAATTTGTTTGAAAGTCTCGCTAATTGACAACGTTTCCGTACTGCGATGAGGCCCACTCCGCTGGCGTACAACATTATGAGCTGCGGTGTGATGCTGAGTTGGTGGAGTTTTGTTTCACACTATTTTATCTTTGGCAATAAAACTTCCAGATGGTTCTTGAGCTCTTCCTAAAATAATAATAACAACATTAATTAGTTATTTAAGAAAAATAATTATTATTTCAATCATTGCTAAGAACAAATATTTTACTACCTTCAGGCTCAGCTGTTTCTACTTCATTGTCATCATCCTCACTCTCGCTACTCTCAACTTCTTCTTCTACTGCTGAATTCTCTTCAGCGATTTCTTCTGTATCTTCAGAATCTTCTGGTTCGTCACGCACTGAATTACCTTGTTGATTTTGATATCTAGCTCTATTTGCTGGAATCCAGTCTTCGTCATCGCTATCAGAAACCCTACTCGAACCACTGTCGTGTTCTCCAAGTAGTTTCCTTAAGTACTCATTCCATTCGGCTGCACTTAACCCAATAAATTAAATATTATGTGATATACGTCGTAAATAATTATAACTATATTACACAAAATTAAATGTAATTAAAATATTTAAAAATGTTAAATATATGTAACGTTTACTTACCGAGGATAGTCAGCTCTCGATAATTGTTCCATAGCTTTATTTTTCACTGTCAAGAGAACACCAAATGAAACCCGTCTAATCCCACCAACAATCTGTTACATACTAAAACAAAAAATAACCTTGAGTTTTTCTTTCTCTCTCGAACGGCATCTGCTCGCCTCCGAACAATAAAAGCCGGCCGACTACCTGGGGTGTCCCAAATAGGTTTCAGATGTTATTCACGATTCTACGTTGCTATTATTATTTTTTTCTTTAAATTGTCACTGACTATTAATATTTGAATAAAATTTTTTTTTAAATAAAATAAACAAAATTTTTAATACTTAGTACCAGGTTGCTAAAAGACGTCGGTAAAGTTGGTTACTAACATAAGGGTTAATGGGGCAGCTGGACAACTTATGCAAATTCATTTCCTTGTTCTTTTCGAACAACTCTGTGGACAAAATTTTTGGAACCTTCTGTTGGTTTGATAGGACGATCAAAAAAGCCTCATCCTCAGTTTCTGGACACCAATTGAAAAAGTTCTAAAATCTATTCAATACAAAAGAAATGAACAAATTTCAATTGAATGAACTGTTCAGTAAAAGTCACGGTGTCACATATAACAAAGTTGTTGTTCATTCTCGACCCAGAATGCCCAGAGCTTCACTATATAATAGTTTTTGCTCGATGCTGAATTGCGCGTGTGTGGCTGTGTGTTGGGCTTCAACCGCGTGTACATGTGGTGTGTCGCTAATCTCACTTATTTTATCTGCGAGCAGAGCTACTTTGTCCAGGGGATCGTTGCTGATGGAAATTATTAGTCGCATGTTGGAAGGTAACCGATTCATCCAAATAGACTTGAGTATGTTATCGCTTATTTCGCTGCCTGCTAAACTACGCATCTCGCGCAAGAGTTGTGATGGACGCATGTCACTAAGCTCTTGTTCTTGTAGTAGCTTTTTACACGTTTTTGCTCGGAGTCTGTGAATTTCGTAATTATGCGATTTTTTAGTGTTTAGGTACATGTCGCTGTTCGGTGGATTGAAAATAATGTCACATATTTGTGCTAGCACGTTGCTTTCTATTGCGGCCACGACAGTGTGATACTTGGTCTTATTGCTCGTTATCCATGCAGCAATAAATTGTGACTCCACTTGTGCGATCCAAAGTTCTGGCTTTGCGTGCCAGAATGGAAGAATTTTAATGGACACTCTAGCAACTTCCACGCTGCGAGGCTGCAAATTTTTTGCCAACTGATTTAGCGCGTCCTCTTCGGCCATTTTTGCTTCCGTCGGGGTCACCAATATGTGGGATGTCTACAATAATGTTCAATTAGTTACTTTCCAATAAATGATATAGTGTGATTACCTACAAAAATAGTGATGACGTGCTTACAGCTGGACGATGCGTGATGAAAAGGAAAGATGAAGGTACGTCAGCATGACAGATAGTGTAGGTTGAATGTTGCCATCTGCTTTATAAATAACTCTGCAAAGTTGCATTTGTGATTTCCACTCAAGTTATCGAGTTGTGGTCACGCGTTGTTGATGGCTGTCTAACCAGAGAACTTAGAAGAACGAGTAGGTGCAGGTTCGACAGCGAACATTTGTAAAATTTTATCAAGGAGCTCACCCTATACGCAGGAGAAACAAATAACATTTCTCGCTTTTATAACAGCGGTGAATCTGTACACATACGCTCTCTTTACATAACCAACCGGCTAATATTGAAGAGAATAAAATATGTATGCCAAAATGGGAATATTGTTATGCTATTTGAAATATATTTCCTTTTATTGAATTATTATTTTATTTATTAATTTTTAAACTATTTTATGTTAATTTATTTTTACTTTATTATGAGAAATATATCAAAATACTTTTAAATTATTACTAATAAAGTATTTTGATATATTTCTTAAAATAGATCATGTACTTGACACAATTATGGAGTCATAAAAGCACAGAATTGTGTTTTGCCGTCGGCATTTTCATATCATGTGTAAGTTATATTTTTATTATATTTAGACTGTTCCTTTATTCGGTAGCGACGGTGTTGTCGACTACCACGAACTATTTAAATAATAGTTATTTCATTTATTATCACTACTTTTACTATAAGTAGTTTGAATATTTATGTGCGTTGTGATTGATAGCGACGGTGTTGTCGACTACCCACTAACTATTTAATTAATATTTCCGATTATGCGATAGCGACGGTGTTGTCGACTACCACGGAATTATGTTATTTTAAATAAACACAAGTTGAGTTCCGTTCTTAAACTGTTTTATTAAAATTACATTTCTCTTATTTATTACCTACTATTACTATCGCCGCTACTGCCGTTGACGCTGCTTTTCTAAGTTTCTGCTGACGCCTAAGCTTGTGTAAGGCATTGCGTTACATCCGCCGGTCACACGTTCGGTGGCTACTGCAAGGTGTTGAATTGCGGCTGTCGGTCATTCAGAAATCCAAACTGCATAGGTTGCAATTTTGGCAGTTCAAAGACTGACTTAGTTAACTATTGTTAACTTATACATGTAAAGAAATATGAAAGAAAAATATTTGTAAATTTGTCTACAAACAACATATGTATCTAGATAAGAACACTCATTACTTCATATGAAATCTCCGTTGACACGGTCAACCAATGATCGAAGCTCACGTTTTTTGCTTTTATGTCAAAGAGTCAATCTGTCGAAGGACTGACGCGACGACAAGGCGTCACAACATTGTGTTGTTGGTAGAAAATCCGAGATGTGCCGAAAAATAAACGAGCGCTCGCCGATTTTCACCTATCCCTTTGCCGCTCTAACAGAATGAAAATCTTGTTGTGTGATTTACTACAAATTTAGGATTTATCAATTTGGCTGCCATATTGATTTCTTATGCTGCTCATGCTATTTGAGAGAATTGTTGTTTTTGTATAACAATGTTTTAATTTTTCTATGCATATATATGTATATACTTATGTAGATGTGCGTATGCATTACTTATTTTGCAATGTCATACGCATATTTGTACATACATACTTACATATAGAGCAGTGCGCGCGCATGTATTTATTGATAAGATTATATTATTATATGATATAATATAACATATTGATGTACATATGTATATACATAAATTATTAATTCTGCAACAATTGAAATTAGAAAATTATGAAAATAGTAAAATATCATTTTTTGCATAATCTTTCACATGTTATCAATGTAGCATTTGTGCAAAAATTCATATATTATCAATTTTTCATCATAACAATCGTTTATATGGCAAAAAATAATCATGCATATGTGCAGTGGCATTTGTATTTTTTGTTCAAAGTGTTTAATTTTTCTCTTTAGGTTGGTAGATACGTATTTTGTCAGAGAACGTTGTTATAAATTCTCGTTTCTGTTAAATAACAGCAAATACTACAGAAAATGGTGAACTCTTTGATCTCAATTTTTCAGCTCTGTTAACCGTCCAACCAAGCATCATACAAAATTCAATTTGCACCTTCTCGATCTTCTCAGTTTTCTGGTTTTGCTTACCTAACGGTTATTTGTATCATCTAAAACTAATCGAGTTAGATATAGGGTTATGTACATATGGATGATCACTATGATGAGATGAGTTGAATTCCGGGCGGCTGTCTGTCCGTCTGTGCAAGCTGTAACTTGAGTAAAAATTGAGATATCTTTATAAAAATTGGTACACATGTTTCTTGGTACACTGTCACGCCCGCAAAACGCCATTAACCAAAAAAAAAAAATTACCATAACTAAGCTCCACAGTAAGATACAAGACTGTTATTTGTAAACAGGATCACATTAGGGAGGGGCATATGCAGTTTAAAATTTTTTTTTAAAGTGGACGTGGTCCAGCCCCCTAATAGGCTTAATGTGCATATCTCCTAAACCGCTAAAGCTATAATAACATTTCACAGAGAGCAAACGTTTTTAGCACCTCTATTGAATGTGTGAAAATGGGTGAAATCGGGTGACAACCCCGAACACTCCCCATATAACGGTACTGTTGAAAACTACTAAAAGCGCGATAAATCAAGCACTAAACACTTCAGAGACATTAAATTTTATCTCTGAGATGGTATGAGTGATTTGGTAGGAAACACGTTCACACTTATACAGGGGGCATGGCACCGCCCACTTTTAGGTAAAAACCCATATATTAGGATGTGCTTAACCGATATCTACCAAATTTGGTACAAAACATTTTTCTCATATTTCTATATTATAGCGCGAAATGGGCAAAATTGGATTCCAACCACTCCTATTTCTCATATAACACAGTTTTAAATTCTTTCTGATTCTTTCATTTTCCACTATGCAAACCAAGCAACAATAATTGTATCGGGGTAAAACTTTGCGTGAATAATGCGTTTAAAGAATGTCACCTTCTGACCAAAAATTGTCTAAATCGAACCAAAACAGTTCAAGCCCCTAGGTACTGAATATGTGGACCCCAGTGGCTATAGTTGACTTTTTACCGAAAATATCGGTCAATGTATAGGATATTAATACTTGTATAATTGAAATTTGTTTGAGGTCAATTTATTAGGTCAATGTAAATATCTTTTCTTTATATATATAGTATATGTATTATAACTTCGTTTGACTACAGATTACGACTTACTTATCTATTACACAAAAGCGAAGTTCTAGTCAGGGGTTGCCAGACGTTATTATTTAATAATAGGGGACATGCAGCGTTGCCAGTAATATTATTTTTCTCAACACTCCTTCTCAAAGCTGCATGTCTAACTTTACAAACTCAAATTAAAAGTAAACATATTCAATGCAATCCCATCATACTAACAAATTTAATATGTTTAACCTTACGCAAGTTTTTAGTTAGTACATCTGAAATCATACTTTCCGTTGGTACATACTCGATTTCAATTTTCTTATTCTTGTACAAATCTCTTATATGATGATGCCTAATGTATATGTGCTTACTACGCGCATGAAATTTGGAGTTCTTTGCAAGGCTCAGTTCGCTCTGGTTGTCGCTGTATATCTTCACTCCCGGGACATCGCCGAAACCCATTTCATTAACAAGTTTCGTAATATACGACGCTTCTTTAGTTGCTGACGAAAGCGCCACATATTCCGCCTCCGTAGTACTCAGTGCCACGACCGATTGCTTCTTGGACTCCCAAGCAAATGCAGCACCTGCAGCGAAGAAGGACCAGCCAGCTTTTCACCTTCAGGTAGCTCTTCCAATGACCACGTATTGTTGGCACGCAGCGAATTAATCTCCTTCTGCATCGAATCTCTCCATTCCTTAGCCTGCGCCGTGCCCAACGCCTCGCTGACTGTATTTGGCACCTGAATGTCATCGGCAGCTATGACATTCACCACGTTGTATTGTTTACGTGGCCGTCCAGGTCGACCAGTATATAGATTTTTAGGTCGCCCTGGGCCTCTCTTACGGCCTCCTTGATTGTTGTCGTCGGTTTCTTCTGCTACTCCCTCAGTTTCATCGTCATGACTTTCTTCAGTGGCCACAGCTTCTCTAGCAGGATTCACCTTATCTGCCACAAAGTCATCAAACTGCAGATCAACAGCGTCACACGCTGACTGGTCTTGAAGTTCAGCTAGTTTCACATCAGCAACGTTTGCGGCTCCCTTGCTGCCATGTTTTACCAAGTCATCTTCTGGGAATATGACATCTCTGCCATCAATAATCGTTTGCTTTTCAAGGTTGTGCAAACGATACGCCTTCGCAGTCTCGGAGTATCCGACCAACATGTATTCAACACCTTTTGGTTTGAACTTCTTCCGGTGAGTTTTATCCAGTACAATCGCCCTCGCGCCAAACACTCTCAGGTGAGATACCGATGGCTTCTTGCCCGACCACGCCTCGTACGGCGTCACTGATTTAATCTTCATTCCAGTCTGTGTCTCGGCAAATACCTTAAACTGTTTAAATTTATCAAATATTTCGCCTCTTGTCTTTAAGAAACACACAGACACATAGCGCGTTTTTATCGTCTATAAATGTCGCAAAATACCGTGCACCGCCAATGGAGGGCTTATTCATTGGCCCACAAATGTCAGTGTGCACCTGGTCAAGAATGTCCGCAGACCTATTCTCTGATCTTTTACCGAATTGCTTTTCGCAAATCTTACATTTTGCACACGTTTCACACACATGTTTTTTTATATCAAAACTCATGTTTGCATCCAAGCCGACCCCCATGCCATTTTTGGCCATCCTTTGTAAACTCGTGTAAACGTCATTTAAACTTGACAACAAAATGATCGCAAGCATTTCATCAGGAACCGTTAACTCTATTTCTTGCAGTTTTTCAACTATATCGGAAAAACTATTCACATGCGTTCCAATGCTATCATTTGCACTCATTTTCAAATATAACAATTGTTTAAACAAATTAATACGACGCGCGGGGCCTTTTGGCGTATGTATTTCCTTTAATTTGTTCCACGCTTCCAACGCTCTTTTACAGTGCTTCACATTATTTATTTGTGACGGCTTTATGCACAGCATGATGCTCGCAAGCGCTTTCTCGTCTTTGGCGTCGAACTGTGCATTTTGTTCTTCGCTCCCATTTTCGCTTTTT